ATTTTACAATTTTTATTTGAACAAACATAGAACAAGAACGAACACCAACATTCAGTCAAGATTTTTATCACATTTATTTAAATTTTCAGTAAAATAGAATTTGATAAATATTTACCCTGTTTCAAGACGATAATACATCTATTCAAAATATAAATTTCATTTTATTCAAATTTAGAGTTGATTTAAACAACAAATACTTTCATGAATATAAAAAATGTCACTGGATATAAGAATGTATAAAAAAGTATATAATGATTTGTAAAGTATAATCAAAAACGTAAAAAACAACTATTTCCTACATATCACTTAACATAAAGCACATACGTTCACAGATTTTTTTATATGAACATTTAATATTATATTTCAATATTATCAACTTTTTGGTCCACTCGTGTTTCTCTTAGGATTTACAGATCAAGCATGTTGGGAAAGCTGACATGCAAAAAAGAAAAAAATAATCTCATTGTGACTTGATGAATTCAGATGTTCTCAGCTCTGACTGGAAAACTAAACTCAAAAAATCATACAAATTTCAATTGAAAGTGTCCCAAAAATATGCCCAAAAATGTATTCTGGCTAGGTATCATTTTAGATTAATATCGCTTATCTATAAAATCACAGCCCTCTCGAAATCCTAAGCCGTTTTGAAGAAAGTTGGCAACAATGTCAATAGGTCCTGAGAGTCTACGCCGGCCGTAAGAATGTAGGAACAAAGAATATCAACGTGGTGAATGTTTCAGTTTTCAGGCGAATTATTGATATTATATACAGCGTGTCTCATTTAAAATGCCCCCCCCTCAATATCTCAGCTATCAGTCGTGCGATCTTTACCAAATTTGTATCGGTATGAATAATCATCAATATGACCAGTTCTTCAAAGACAATTATCATTTCAGACAGTGTCGTGCATTTTTATTGAAATGAATAGGGGTCAGTTTTTTATTGAATCATATTAGGCATTTTTTCACAGGAAAACTGACCTCATAATATTGTTCTTCATGGTTTCAAAGCCACATATGTGGATTTTCATAAGATGCCTATGAAGGGTTTCAGAAAAACAGGCACATCTAAACAGCATTTTTGCGAACGAAATAATTATATACTCGGACACGGTGAGTTCAACATAAAAAAGTATAACTCGTTTTTCCTTCTAAATCATGATTCTCCACCTACCGAAGCCATTGAACGTTCCAAAATTCGTAGTTGATTTGAAGTCACTATTTATTCGAGACTGAAAATGAAAAAAATTAAGCCAATCCTGTTAATTCGGAATTAGGTGATTTTTTGCATATGGGGGTTCGAAAGCATGGGGAACAATAATATGAGGTTAGATTTCCTGTAAAAAATGCCTAATATGATTTTATGAAAAATCGACCCCTTTTTAGTTCAATAAAAACGCACGGCACTGTCCAAAATCTGTCCATCTCTGTAAAACTGATCATATTGATGGTTATTCATACCACACCAAATTTGGTTGGAATCGCATGACTGATAACTGAGATATAGAGGGGGGGGGGGCGTTTAAAGTGAGACACGCTGTACATATGTGAAATTATGAATTATTATTGAGTACTAGTTTCTATGTAAAGAATAATCCAGTAATCGACTAAAAAATGAATGTATACAAAGTGCATCGAAAAATTTAATTGGATACACTTGAGCACAGTTATGTTTCCTCTACTTTGATTATTTATGGAAGGATGGTAAGCGATTTCAAAGTTCACATAAAGATAACCCAATCAATGTTGTGTGACGGGATAACAAGGATATACATTGAAAAAACATGTTTCATGTTGCACATTTCCAAAGAAGAAAAACAATTGTGGAACACATTGTGAATATTTGACCTCTTCTCAAGTTTCTGTAGTGATTGCTGGATAGGAAACAGAACAGTTTCTTACATTTTTCCAAATTCCAGATTATTTATTGTTATCGGCGTTCTACCCACGTAAATATAGATAGTACTGCATGGGTGTTGTAAAAGTTAAACATTAATAAAAAACAATGGATCTTCCATTTAGGAAAAAGTTTGAGCCAGTGTGACGAGTTCATCCCACTTGTGTATTCGAATGATTGATGACAAATCGAATTTGACAATGGGGTTGTACACACTAGTCGAATTTACGCCATACCTATTTACCTTACCTACCGGCACCTTCGAAAAACGCCCACTCTCGACCGTCATACATCTTCCGAAAGTCATGGTTATCTGAATTTTTGCTATGGCGTCAATAGTAATAGTGATATATATTCCTCTTTGTTCCTCAACTACCAATGAGAGCATAACCATATATTTCATATTCAAACCCAAACCTTTTTGTGACCCTGGCAACAGCATTATAACTTTATAACGTCAAGCTCGTCTGTCACCTGCAACTTCTAGTCAAGTTTAAAGGCGGATTTATGCACGCTGCTTTTTCATTAATCTGTAAATGTGATTGAAAATTCAGAAAATTCTAGTTGAATGTTTAAATTAGACTTTGAAATCAATATGTATAATTTACTCTTATTTTAATAATGTGAGCAGTGGAGGTTAGAACACAAATATTGTCATCCAGCTAAGTACACTGAGGAGTTCGTTTTGATCATGAAGAAGAGTTTAAAGTTGAAAAAAGTAAGGAGTGCATGAAGGCATCAAAGTCCTTGAATAAAAATAAATGACAGATTAATGACAAAGGGGGTGCATAAATCCACCTTAATACTGTGAATATTCAAAAATAATTTTGCAGTAATTATTCAGTCCGGAAAATTCATTCCATATTTTGATAGAAATAACAATCAGAAATATTCTTGCACTTGTCTTACACAAATAAATAGTGGATACATAAGTCGAATCTTATATGGTTGCATCAGATTGTTCACGGGTGATTAGGTCACGCGTTTTCCCGTGTTTTTCATGTTATGAAATATCCTGATTTTCAATATTTATTTAACAAATTTACAGAACTCTGAGGAGAAAACGGTTTGTGACTGTGTACTAGTTAGGGTTAGCACTTCGAAATAATGGAATGAAAATGTCACTGAAACAGGACCATTGTTTTATATATCTGAGAAACTGCGAATATTATTCGAAGAGAAATCAAACCTATACACTAGCGTTACGGTATTGGTGGCCAGCCATGAGCAAGACTCTTGAATCTCCTAATGCGGCGTTGCCAATTACCTCAGCACGGCTCTGAATTCAAGAAGGCTACGATAAAACTGCCCAATAGGTCGCGTGCACAAAATGTCAGATGACCGACCCTGGTGGTAAAACAATCTAACTAACCTCACTTTTTTATCTGTTTACATAGGATTGAAATAGTTTTGCACAATCATTTTGGCATTAGAATCGTGTTTCTTGGAATATTTTTTTATTCAAGCATGCCATCACATTGGTGATGTTGTATAATGGACAAGAAATGCAGTAAGAGACGACGGAGTTCAGGGAAATTGTGATCTATATAAGTACTGTACCTAGTCACTCACTTTTAGAATTCCTTCTGCAATAGGACTCATAAGTGCTAATAAAGTGACTTGTGAAGTTTCTAAAAGAAGGAAAACCCCGATTCGTGCAATCAAACAGGACTGGTCTGAAATACTGACAAAATATCGTCGTGTGTGTTGTAGACATTCAAGTAATGCTAGAGAAATGACTATTCGCGATAGAAAGTAAGCGTACGCCACCTATCGAAGTTACAGAAAGTAGTCTCTGTTCACTTTGTTTCCATTCGTTCACATTTGTTTTTTATTTGTGATCATTGGTCAATCCTTCAAAACATACCCCTCAGAAGTATTCAAGTTGTTGCCGTCAGGTGGGGCGACGTAATATTTTCTATAGCGAATGGTCGTGTGGGGTAGACATCTTCACTCTATTAGCTCCTATTACAGAAGGAATTGAATTAAAACTATGTGACTGACTACAGTAGTTATAGATCACAACTTACCTAGAAAATCTTCATTCCTTTGTCGCTCGCTGCATTTTTATGCATTGTACAACAGCACCAATGTGATGGCATGCTTGGATAAATACTTGAATATCCCAAGAAGCATGATTCGTATGCCAAAATACTTGTGAAAAACTATTTCAATCTGATGTGAACAAATAAAAAACGTGAGGTTAGTAAGATTGTCTTACGTCAAGGATCAGATATACCGCGACCTATAGGTACGATGAACGATCCTGGAGGTAAAATAATGAAACACAACCTCACTCTTCGGTGAAACAAGGAAACACAACCTCACTTTTTTTTATTTGTTTACAGAGGAATCAAAGGATTGAAATAGTTTTTCATACGAATCGTGTTTTTTGCGCTATACATTAATTGAAGCATGCCTTTGCAATGTGCTATTGTACAATTCACAAAAAATGCAGCGAGATACGAAGGAATATGATTTTTCAGGTAAATAGTAATCACATAGTTTTCATTATGGAATTTTGTCATTTCTAATTAAAATTCCTTCAGCCACTTCTGCAATAGAAGCTAATACTACTAAAAGATTGAAAATGTCTACAACACACATGATCATATTTCGTCAACATGTCAGAGCAGTCCTCCCGTTTGATTGCATGAATCGAATCTTCTTGCATTATTTCAGTTTCACGAGTATTTCTATTAGTTCCTGTTGCAGAAGGAATTCCGATGAGAAATCAGAGAAATTACCAAATTTCAAAAATGAAAAATATATGTTAGTCACAATAGTAGGTACTTACCGGATTCCTTCGTCTCCCGCTGCCTTTTTGTGCATTGTACAACAGCACAATGACGGTATGCGCGATTTAATGAATAGCCGAAAAACATGATTCGTATGCCAACATAATTGTGAAAACCATTTCAATCACTTGTAAACAAATGAGAAAAGTGAGGTCGTGTTTCAATGTTTCACCTCCAGGGTCGGCCATCTGGCAGTTCTTGCACGCAATCCATTATGATGAATTCTAACCTACCAAACTAACCATGGCACCGATTTTTATTTCACTTCGTTTAGTTATCCAGCCGATTCAGATCCGATTAATTGATCTACACCGAAAGTCGACTCACCTGCTCGCCACCGATGGGGTATCTCTGGTCGGGTCAGGGGATTGCATGAACTGGTGTTGGGGGGTGTTGGGGTAGCTCATTCCCGTGAAACCGGGCACGTGCGTCACCAGTTGCGGCCTCACGTAACCGTTATTAGACGTCGGTTGATTGTCTATGCAAAAATATAAATGTTACAGCACGAGCCTTTCCAGTCATTTCTAGAAAAAGTATAACTTGAAATGCAGGGTGTAACGTAATTACACTCGGCTTCAGAAAATATGTCGCGGTAGGACGGTGTAAGCGCTCTTATTGCAACAGTGTCTTAGAGAGCTCACACCGTCCATGTGCGACATGATATCTGAAGACGGGTGTACGTCTAAATACTCAAGTGACGTAATTCCTTAGACCATTTTAAAAAAAAAAGTCTATGTAAACTTGTGTCCGAAAATGCTTAGTTTCGGAGATACAGGGGGAAAGGAACAAAATTTAAATGAATCAATACTAAATTGCTTACTTGGTTCTATTTTCTATTGATTTTAGTACAAGCATCACTACCTTCTTGTCAATGAGGTTTTTAACTTGGCATCTCGTTCTCTTGTAAACATAGTTGCCACATTAGCAATCAAATTTTCCGGGAATGAGTACTTGAGATATAGTAACACTGTGTAGTTTGTTGATTATAACCATTGTCTGCTGAATATGGAGAGAAAAAATCTAGTGAGCTGTAGTATCTGGTCTGCTCGAACAAGGAAACTCACCTACAGGTTTCTGTGGCCGATACAGTAGTGCCGCCATACGGTCAACTCAAGGAAACACTCAATTCAATTGTGTTCCTGTCAAACCTACATAACCTTGAATATCTTCAACGAGTTGGGCAGCTCCCTCAGCGGTGGTCTCGGCAGACACTACAATAGTCCCTAATTTCGTAACGTTCAACACCTAAATTAAATGAGAGGTAGAATCAGTAGTATCGATTATCAGCTTTTCAACAGGGCACTGATTATCTTGGAAATCCATGAATGGAGATGGTTTCACACGTTCTGGTAGGCACAATGAGGGGAGACAGAGTTTGTTACACATTATTAATCAGAATAAACTACTATAATACTGGGAGCACAACACAAAACTATATCTATAAACGAAAGGAATATTAGAACAATGAGAATTGAAGATGACAGTTTTTTTAGTAAAAAAATACAATACAAGTCACGATGGCACCACATTTCTAAACACTGATAAATTACATAACCACAATTTTCGAAAATTTTCTAGAAAAAAGTGAAGATCATTTCGTCCGATACGGTAACATCCTCTGGTGGTCATACACTCAACTGAGCTATAAAGCAGACCAGTAGTTACAGCTCACTAGATTTTTTTATCCATATTTAGCAGCAATGATTATAACCATTAGTCAACAAAATCATCACACCAAAACTCGAACCAAACCATATAAAAAGCGTATTACTGTCAGATGCCTGCATCACATTTTATCCTAGGTAATCTCGAAATTATTGGAATATTTCGGAGTTCAGAGTAAAGAGATTGTGAACATCAGTGAATTACCAATAAACTAATCACCTATTACATAGTAACTTCGAATCATGGAATTCCTTGCATCATCTTGCACATCAGATCAATACAAGGATTTCATAGAGACCTGGTGACAGCAGCGTGCTTTAGAGCCGTCATAAACGCCAACCAATCAAACTTCAAGGAGACACTGACATCACAGCTGAGAAGTGTTTGAATTTACAGGTATTGAAATAGCATTTTTTTAATATGAAATAATTCATTTGTTGTTCGATTTTCTCGATAAATATGTGGTCCGGATAACGTTTTCGACTTTAACATTATAGCAAAAAAGGTCAAATTATACGATACTGGAAAGGACCATTAAATGTATACAGTGTGGAAACCTATGATGGATTAAAAACCGTATCTCCATTACAGAAATATATTTCGAGAAATCTTCGGGATCGGACGATTTTCACTTTCGAAAATCCTTATTTTTACATTGAAATGTTCAACTACCTGTCAACCTCCTGTCCTACAGATCAATGAATTTCAGATTTTATATTTATCTCTAGCGGATGTAGCTCAATCAACTTGAAAAAATTTTGAAGAAATTGATTTGTAGGGAAGGAGGTTGACAGAGTTGAAAAATAGATTTTCAAGAATGGAAATACGGATTTCATTCCATCATAGGTCTCCACACTGTGTAAGTCATTGATCTTCAGATTTTTTCTTTTCTTCCTATTTTCATTGAAATTTATGTACATTTCGTCGGCAATATCCAATAGTGTTATAATAAGGATATTACCATGTATAGGTTCCTAGATGAAATTCATTTTACGTTTGCATCAAACAGGGATGATAAATTCGCGAGAATTAATAATACTACACATTACATTACATTAAACCCAAGGCCGTATGTGTTTTTATTTTCTTCTAGGAATGGAAATCCCATAAATTGTATAGGCAATTTTCCCAAACTACTCTGAATGTACTAGCCAAAAAGTTTTCAGGTCTGGCCAGTATTATCGTGAAGTATGGTGTAGAGAATGAGAGCATGGAGACGTGTGTTCAAGAATGTGATAGAAAATATCCAAAGATGACAACTTGACACAAGACAAATGTTGGCTACAATTGATTGATTATTATTGGTTATCATTCTTGTTATTTCGTTGTGCCTACAACAAAACCAATAATTTCTGACCCCCCATCAGCGTTGCTGACAGTCCTAAGTATGTCAAATGGAAAAGGGAAGTTTGTGAGTGCATCATGTTCACGTCAAATCTTTCAATAAATGCTACCAAAATTAATTATAATTTTCTAAATGTTGATGTAAATCACCTTGTATGTATAATATATGAAGATGAAACTTTCTGACCTATTTATGAATGTTGATGAAGAAGAAGAAAGATCACTGATTGTTTTATTCGTTTTTGAAGACAAAATCAGAAGTAAAGACATTGAAGAAAACTTCCTTACCTTGGAAAGGGGTGTAATATTTTCCAAAGGGAATATCCTTGGAAATGTCGGGGTACAAGCAGACGAGATGATTCAAATCAGCAACTCTATCCGCTAGCGAGCGAATCATGAAATCTTTGTGAGTGAATGGCTGCAAACTGAACACCTCACAAGAATCTGAAATTTTCGAAAAAAAAATATTATTTGTTTAAGTAAAGCTGTAATAGTTCCTGAAGGAAATATACAAGAGTGATGAGAATAGCCTTTGGTGCAAAGGTTTAGTATTATTTTTTCCAATACTAGCACATATTCCACTGATATAATCGCTTTTTGGACCAAAATTATTCTTTACGGGGAGCTGTCAGGTTAATAACATTCCAAATGAGAATAAAATTCAGAAAATTTGTGAATATATTTTGACGTTTTCTACAACTACAGAAAATTTCAAATTCGGTTATTTATACTGTGTCTTGACCAACCAGAATTTCATTTTAAAGGGAATGATCTATCCACCTTATGGCCGCGAGTATAAGGTAGAAGTTTTGTTTTCTTTGATTTTACATAATTATTTATCTTCACTGTACATAATAATCTTGGAAATGGTATCATAAAATATATTATAGAATACCATATAAATGATCAACCAACTATAAAATAAATTGACAGATATTTTGAAAACAATGTATTGTTCTATGATTCATGTTCACTCATTTGTCTTACCTGACACCCAAGCAATCGTTATGCCGCCCAATTCGCTATCTGAAAAACGCAACAGGAATGTACCGCAATTGCAGCTAGACAGCATTTCTTCGGCTTGTTTCTTTCTCACGAACCCCATTATGGCACTACAAAAAAATGAATATGTCATCAACGATTTCATAATTAGAGGAACTTGACATTTCGTGGAAGACACACATTAAACAAAAAAACCGCTCCATCTACTTCCGTAAAAACGGTTGAATCTGGCAACACTAGCGACCACAGTGAAACAACCGCCATTCTCCGTAACTAGCCATTTTGCCAAATGCCATACTCTTAATACTCCTAATATGACGATTCATATACAATAGCTAATCAACTTCATGATGATGAACTGCGCCTGAGCATCGCATTACTCAACTAGCTGTAGTTGCCGCGAAACTGCCAGAAAAAATAATTCGTCCCACTGACTTGTAATTTTTTCGAATGTATTTTTTTCATTCAATTTTCAGACGACAAAATTCTCATTGAAATGTCAACGTTACTTCGACCAAAAAACGCTCTTGTGTGATTGTAGTTCACACTATAAAAACGGTAGCTCACACTATAAAAACGGTAGATCCACCGCAAAAACGGTTGAATCGGGCAACACCAACCACCATAGTGAAACAACCGCTATTCTCCATAGCTAGCCATATTGCCATATTGCCTGAGCATCACATTGCTCAACTCGCTGTAGTTGCGGCGAAACTGCCAGAAAAAAATAACTTGTCCCACTGACTGGTAACTTTTTCGATTGTGTTTTTCGTTCAATTTTCAGGCAACATAATTCTCATTGAAGTGTCAAGTTTACTTCAACAAAAAAAAAAGCTCTTGTATGATTGGCATAAGTGAAAAACTACTCAATCCAATTTGTCTCCTCTGCGGTAGAGCGGTAGTTCACACTATAAAAACGGTAGATCCACCGCAAAAACGGTTGAATCTGGCAACACTAGCCACCACAGTGAAACAACCGCTATTCTCCGTAACTAGCCATATTGCCAAATGCGTTTACTAGAGTAGTTCCCAAAATAATTTCGACTGCCACTTTCCGATACCATTCTATACCGCGTCTAAGTGGGGTATTATAGTCCACAATTAGAGCTGTTTTTTTCAGTCAGGATTTGTTCGACTTGGCATAGCTTTCATTGCATCTAGATGCTTTGTACTGAGTCAAGCAACTTTCGCGAATGCACAATAGTCCCTTGGACTGGCTAGGATTTGTGGGAACCTGTTGAGACACAGTACTCTTACCTTGCGGCACAATCGGTTCATATTCTACCCATTGTGTCGTGAGGTACCAATACTGTGCCACATTGTTTTTTGCGAAAATACGGAAAATAATAATAGATATAATAATTTTGAAAATATTTCTGTTCTACAAATGAAATAATGTGAATTTCCATAAAAAAAAAATTGGCACACAGGGACCAGATTTTTCCTTCTCATGGCGGCAGCCAATGTGTTAATATAACGATTCGTATACAATAACTAATAATCAACTCACCCATCGACCCACGGCCCCCGCAAATGCTCCCTCGTCAACTTCATGATAGCGTAGAACCACTCCCAAAAGGTGAAGTTCCGCTCGCTGAGCGGTTCCTTGCAGAACTGCGCCCAGCTGAGCGTCGCGTTGCTCGTTTCGTTGTAATTGCCGCGGAACGCCTTCTCGGCCAAAAAGCGCAGGTTGTCCTCGGTGAGGCATCGGCCGGTGGCCGCCCTGAATTTCAGCGACAGCATCTCGGCCACTTTGTTCCAGGGCACCTGGAATAGAGATTATTATTCGAGCTTTTGAATTGACCCGGTCGTTACTTGGTGGAAATCCATGGCAAATGTAGAAACTTCACCAATGATAAGATTTCCACAAAATTCTCAAACACACGACATGTTTCGCTAACACAGTAGCTTCGTCAGGTGATTATACTAGTACAATGAACTAAACTAACGTTGGCTTGCTTGCATTTTATATATCTTACTTTCCCAACCCGAAGGATTAGTTACCTGTGGACAGGTACGATCAACCTCCATTTTCGGAAATTAGGCACAATATCTACATTGAAATATGGTATAGCGGATTTACTTGAAAGAGAGACTTGAGAATTTTGCTATACTTTTCATTACCCATTATGAGGTGATCGAAGGAGGGTTTATTAGATTTATTGCAATAGAATGGAACGAAACATGTTTTTTCATGGTTGACGGTGAGCAGTTTATGTTCAAACCAATTTTGCACTGATAAAAAGTCAGTTTCTACTAGAACTTTCAACTCTTCCCAAGAGTTGGCTTTGTAGAAGATGGCAGTATCATCTGCAAACCCAATATCTCCTCCACTTCTCAAGGAAAACAATCCATTCACATAAATATTGAATAAAGTGGGTCCCAAAACAGTACCTTGTGGAACCCCACATTCGATTACTTATCGATCACTCAGAACATCAGACACTCCTACACTCTGAAGTCTATCGGAAAGGTAACTTTGGAATAGATTTTGAGCATTATTTCTGATGCCGTTATCCTCCAGTGTTTGCAAAAGCAGTCGGTGACTGACTGTATAGAAAGCTTTCGATAGATCAATGAATAAGCAGAGACAACACTTCTTGTCATCAAGTGCATTGGATATCTTTTCGGTTAATGCCATTATTGCATCTTGCGTTGATATTTTGTTCCTGAAACCAAACTGGTTATCATACAGCAATTTGTATTTCGTCTTTTCTTGATGATTTTTTCAAATATCTTACTAATATGTGTGATTAAAGATATAGGTCGGTAGTTTGTAGCAATTTTCTCATCTCCTTTTATGAAAAAAAGGGATTACAACGCTTTCTTTGAGTATCACTGGCCACGTACCAGCATTGATGCAGAGATTCATTAGATATGTTAAGGGTTCTCTTATGAGCACTACAATTTCTTTCATAGTTTTTGCTCTGATATAATCTATACCAGTAGATTTTTCAATTTTGAGCTCATTTATGAATTCATGTATTTAAAAGACATCCGTAGGTGACAAGACGAAGGAGTTGACAATAGATTTTCTCTGGGGATGATAGTTTGGATTTTGTATAATTTCACTAGCTAATTTTTACCCAATTTCAATGAATGTCGAGTTAAATTTGTTCCCTATATATTTCATATCTGTTGAAGGATTGCCTGTATCATCTCCTATTGACGTTATTGCAGCTTTGGATTTTTTGTTATTGCTTATTTCGTTCACTATATTCCATAGATTTTTCGAGTTTGATTGATTTTCATTAATTTTATCTTGGTAGTAGTCAAATTTACATTTTCCATTCTGATTGGTTAATTTGTTCTTGATGGTTTTGCAATGTTTCTTCAGTTGGTGGTTTTCTGGGTTTTTCTTTAAATTCCTAAATACCTGATTTTTTATTGATAAGTTTAATCAGCCCTGTTGTTGCCGATGGAGCAAATGTTGTTATTTTTACATTTCAGTTTCACCGAAGACGTGCAGTCATATATCGCCTTCGAAAGAATATCAATGAATCTGTTCATGGCAATGTTGGGGTCAGCAATAAAGTATACTGAATCAAAGTAATCAGAGGAGATTATAGATTTTAATTTGACGTAATCCATCACTAACATTAAAGGTGACAACCATGAGTGAGAGTACTGAATCCTTTAAGCGTTCTAGTGTGACCCTGGAATGAAATTAAATTGAGAAAAAAGCCGCACTCACCCTATCGGGCACGGCGAACGGCACACGACCCGACTCGCTGAACGCGTTGTCCCACGTGACCGTCGCCACGGCGTGCGGATCCTGGTTGCCATGGACGATCACCACCACCGGCAGACTGAGCGTCCACACCTGGAACATCAATTCGCCGCCGCCGACGCTGAACTGCGACTGGAACAGCAGCGAGAACTTCTCGTCCATGACGCTCTCGGTGCCCTTCTTCTCGGCGCGCTTGATCTTCTTCAGCTGCATGTTGCGGAAGCTGACCGACAGCTGGCGGGTGTTCTGAGAAAATGATTTCGTTCGAGTAATGTTCTGTTGAATCCGTTGATTATACAGGGTGGCATTGAAATAGGTGCAAATATTGTGAACACTGAGAAAGCTTTTCGCCAACGGAAGATATCAACTATCAAAGTTGAAAGAATGATAAATATGACAGCCGTTCTTAGTTGTTCACCTGGTACATATATACCAACGAAATACATATACTATTCCTATGAAATAAGTCTCTTATATGTATACGTTCAGTTGAATATTTTTTTATCTCGAAAGTTCAGAATGGGGTAAAGACTGATAAATTTCAACCAATGAAACATACTTTCATTTCGTATGGAACAATTTCACTTGTACAAGAGTGGTAGGTAATAAGTTATTAATAAATGAACAAATGATATAACAACAATAACAGCTGAATTCAGTTAGGATGAATAATAAAGGTTCTCCAAGACTGACTATAGATAGCCGTTGACATTGCTGAAGGGGATTGTTGGTTTGAACCCGGCCATCGGAAGATCATTCTCAAGTCTTTTTCTTTCAAAATATGTTCGAAATGAATTTCATTATCTGCAAGTTCTTCGTTTCTTTGGTTCTAAATTGGAATAAGGTTCTTTTCGATACTCGCTCAGTTTATAAATTATGGGTTCGGCTCTTTCCACCAATACGATCCTATTCTTCAATATCAAATCTTCCGTTCTGAAGTGTACCTGATGAAAATGCGTTGAAAAATGTTCTATATCCTACCAAGAAATTTGAATACCTCGCGAATTTTGTGGCCTGAACCTACATTCCATGCCGGCCGAATCATATATGCTGTTTCCATTTTTGTAGAATTACGTTATCCGATGGAAATTCGAATAGAGTGAATTGATTTCCCATGCTCTCACAGTTGGAAACCGCACAAACTTGCATCTTTCTCCTAATTCTCTCAATTTGTGGAACCTTTGATATTTATGTCATGTACGTCCGTGTACTGTCAGTTCCCGCTTTTTCCATCAATTTATTTGTGGTTATGTCTGATTGTCAGTGCTTGTCATAAGTGTCCGTACTCTAATATACCAGAAAACGTCGAAACAGCAGTATCAAGTACATTCAGGAACTCTAGCGAAGGGTAGGGACCGGTAATGCAGAATATATTCGAAGTCCACACTTGTAACATGAGTTCGTCGCAGCCGACGCTGAACTGCGACTGGAACAGCATGACCATGTGTCCATGACAGTCAGTTTCCGTTAAAACCTGATAGATACTAGTTGAAAAGAGATATGTATCCTATGAGGAAAATACATCACATTCCAAATACTTATGTGGAACCGCTGCCAAAGCAATAATGCACGAGGATTTTTTGGATAAAACATCTCATTCAATTTGGCATAAATAGCTCATGACAAAAAATGAAACAATTTCATATTCATTACATATATTTTTCTGTGTGAAAATAAAGGTGTAGGAAAATCAAGATGAAGAATTGATTAGTTTGAAAATTTTCAATCGTTTTTCCGAATTGCTTCTCTTCCAGTGTAGTTTGTTTCTCTCCCAAGCACCCTAAGGTATGTAGGTCAATGTGTATACAGCCATATTTTTTCATCATCTTAACCTTCTAAATTACAGCACCAAATTTGTGAAACAGTTAGCTGAAAGTCCAGGCCAACTCCTGATGTCCCATCGTTGATTCCATTTTGTACCATATAAGCGTGGAAAATTCAACACGTTCGAACGACACCAACTTTTTTTTTGGACATCAACCTCCGTTGGGCGGTTTCATGACATGATAAGTTTGTGGAATCTTCTATTATGAAAAAGATTCAGACAATCTTAGCTAGATTGGGTCTGAAAAATTGAGTCACCCTGCTCCAACACACAAAAATCCAAGAGAAACTAAAATTGAAAACCATACCTGTTGGTATTCCATGGTTCCGGTGTTGTTCAGGATCTCCCCAGAGCTCTCGCCACTTTTGCAGGGCTTGTCATTCTTCAGTTGCATTATCGCCTGCGATTCTGATATAATTGTCACCCTGACTTGAGGTGGAGTCATGTGCACGTTAAGTTTCCCACCAACCAATAATCGTACAGTAGCTGTGAATCTGAAAAAAAAATCAAAAATTTACATGTTTGTATTTCACCTTTGAATCATAGAATCCCAGGTCCCACCAAAGAATGATACTTCAACTTCTTCTAGGAAGAAGACAGAAGTATTATCGTTAATGTGAAAATTTACAGCTGAGGACCCACAACGGTACCTTGTGGCACACCACATGTCATCTCCAGACCTACTGCATCTGCTATTTCTACTTATTCCTTCATCATGCAATCTCTAGTATGATATAATTTTATGAAATGATTGATTTATCAGTTAAAATAGTTGAAAATGTTCGGAAACGTTACTAGATAAGTAACAAAAAAACATCTAACAAACGAAATATGATGTTATCATAATTCCTCACCTTGTGTTAGTTTTTAAAACTTGCGGGGGTTGTTTTTCGATGATGAATGTCGACGTTACCAACGTAGATAAGAGTTGTGTGAATTCTTGAAGAAGCTGTGGTAATATGTCGATCACTCCCGGTGGATCCAGGGGTACTCTCTGTTTCAGCCTTTCGACTTCCTTGATTTGTTGGCGGTTCAGCCAAATGAGTTCTGCCAAACTCTCACACCTCAAATAAAAAGCATCCAATGAATCAAATTTCGAAGAGTAAATTTATTTCGTCAGCTGTTCACGACTGACAATAGGCATATAAAAAAATACAATGCACTTCACCATTGTCGTTCTAAATGAAAACCAAGTAGGCGACAGGATTAATATTGTCTGTACATTGGCCCAAAATTTGTTTGCCTGTGAATGGCGCTGGTTTACTGAAAACGTGGAGAACTCATTCGTTTCAATAGAATATTTGTCATAATGGACAAATTTACGTTGACATTTTCTAAACGACACCTCAGACAAATTACAATTTTGATTTGATTATCTAATATCAATTTGATTGTTTGTTTGATCTTGGTGTTTCATTTTGAACTTCTACAAGAGGTGGAAGTTTGTAAATTCTTCAATGTCTCAAAGATGAGGTGAATTAGAAGCTAAATGGAATGACTTCCAACATCAGGTGAGAGTTTCTTCTTTCTGAATCTTCAAATTACTTGAAGATATACAGTGTGACCCATTTTTAATGGAAACACCCCTGAATCTTTCGTAATCGTTGGGTAAGGATCCTGAAATTTGCTGGAGAGAGATATACCAAAAATGCACTCTATCACCATGTGGGGTCATCTCCAGTGTTATACACTGCTCGTCATCAGCCATGGAACCACCCCAATTTCCGGAAAATGATATTAGGAGTCAAAATAGGTTGGAAATCACTTCGGATTCGGAATCAGGACGCCCAATTCAATAAGTATTCATATTTTTCCTGGAAAATTTTCAGTTCTGAAATATTAAATTTTGTCGCATTTTTTACGGAAGCACCACCGTATCCTCCGTAATTATTGAGGTAGGGTGCTGAAATTTGCAGGAGGAAGGGAAAGTCCAAAGATAAAGTCAATTACGTGTAAGATACGGGGGTGCTTCCGTAAAAAGTGCGATTCAGGGGTGTTTCCATTAGAAGTGGGTCACGCTGTATAACAGAAAAATCATACAAGAACTTCGGAATCTATATTGCTTCATAAAATCAGAGACCAATCCAGACCAACCAACATAAATCATTCGCAAAAATGATGCCAAAACACTCAGAAGCGTCAGAACTCGGATTCCATGTTCTGTGGATTCCATCCTACAAAAACTTGCCTCTTTTATTACCTTCATCAAATATAATCTGTGGTTACAGTATAAAAAAAAATAAAAGACAGGAATTGTCACATTTTGCATCTTGTTTTGCCATGAGACTCTCAGTTTCTGTATAACAAGCTACAGTGAAATTCTGAGTATCTTTCTAATTCAGAAATTTAAAAAAATTTAATCCTGTCAACTGACCACTCCTGTATGGTGTCCAAATTGCTATTGAAAGTGGCCCCGTTGCCGGCCAACTGTTGCTCCCTCTTCCACCTCGTCAACTCCTCGTCCAGGACGTGCGTCTGCAGCTGCGACAGCAGCTGGTACGTCTCCTGCAGCTTCTCGCCGAGGGCCATGCGCAGCTGCATCAGCCCGGCCACCTTCTGGTTGAGCAACTGCTCCTGCTTCTCCTTCTGTCGCTGCAGCTGCTGGATGTTGGCCGGCGTTTGCGCGTTCGGTTGCGTCGACAGCTGCTGCAGATGCGCTAAAATATCCGGCAGCGGGTGTGAATTTGAATAAAAAAACGCACTTAGCAAAGAAGAGCCTGCAATGCCATCTTTTTGGCGCAAAAATTTGTAGAGAGGACTTGGTTGTTTAGGCAAAGTAGTCTCCTATCTTATACAGAATGGATACTTACTCTGTCAAAATTAACAAAAAATGACACGTTTCCTTACTGGTTACGTACAATATTTTTCGATAGAACAGAAATAATGACCAGTTCTAGATGAGTTCTATCGATTATGTAAAAAATTCAGTAGGGAAGTCGACTTCGCCCGTCCCTTTGAAGTATTTATTCAATTTATTTATTTAATTATTGAATCGAGTAAAATCTACATTTTGTCATCGAATATCAATTACATGTTTTATATTGTATATCCTTCACATAGGTTAGTGACCTATGTGTGAAAGAAATGAAGTAATTCACGTATAACATTGTTTTTCCATAATATAAATACTTAAACTGAAAACAAATAGACAATTCATACAAAAATGAGAATAAATTGAGATAAAGAAAAATAGAGTTGAGAGTTGAGTTGAGAAAACTGAGCAAGAGGTGGTTATGTACCTCTCTCTTCCGCGATACACTGCGGGAATATTCAATTCGTTCCTAGTAACGCAAACAGGAGAGACTTGGAATTTTAGCCGTCATTAAAAAAATATCGACCATAAAAATTTATGTTGGTAAATCCATAGAAACTTATGACCTTTTTTTTTTAAAATTTAGCTGGAACAGCAATAACTTGATAATTTATTAGATTTGTGACAAATATGTATAAAAATTCAGAATCCTCATGACATTTTCAAACAATTTTTTAATATTACCAGAAAAAGTAGTGACTCCTGCAAATATTTCAAGACTAAATATATCTCTTTTCGACCATTATGAAAAGGACGAGGAAGAAAATCGCTAAAAAAAAGAACGTCGGCATATTACTTTTGAATTTCAATCACTGAAACGTCCCTTGTTTATCAGTGCATAATATTATATTTTGTCAATATGGAACAGAAATATTCAAAACTAATATACAAATAGTAACTAAGGAATCAATGGTGTTTTATTTCATGTAATTTCCGTACTCAACTTGGCTATTTGTGAGATCTATAGCAAAAATATGTATAGATTCGGAATCCACAAGACATATTACGTTAGATTAAAAAATATGTGTTCATGAAAAACTGGGTGATTTTGAAATTTGAGAGGAAAAGCAAACAGTGTTCGTCGTGGCATATAGCCAGGAAAGTAGTTGTTTTCTGTTAAATATTCCGAGAAAGAGTTAATATTTTTATCAGCTGGAGAAAGCGAATTCTGATGTTCGAATATATGTATCCATTTTTTCATATATGTATCCATTTTTTCATGTTCATGATATATGGGAGATTTCTGAGAATATTCCTTTTCAATGGTATTTTAAAAGTCAATTGGAGCTGCTCTAGCAAAAAATTGGTTATGTCTGTACATTAAAATATGTGTAGCTAAATCATTTTTCCGTTCTCGTTCCCGGGCAATTATGCAGCCGCCTCAACTTTGTTATCCGTTACCTCTACGACAAAAATGTGGAATCCTCATAGCATTTTACGTTAGATTAGATAATTATGAAATTACACACACTTTGCAATATTTCATTTAGGTAGGTATAGACATGTTTGAATACGTAGAAAATTCAGATAAAACATTATATTCAAGAATGAAAATATGCATAAATTGCACTATTTCTTTCATTTACTTTGATGGCATTTTTGCGAAAACTTGCTCTCTGCCCATCTTAAAATTTAAAAAAAAAAACATCAAGATGAATAAAAATGACATCAAACTGAACAAAATGGCTGCTCTGATTCATCTCTATTTCCTAGACTGATAATAAGAGCCGATAGGGAATACTGTGTAAATCTTATCAATGAGCAAATTTCGACCTTCATCTGATAACGAAATGATATATGGCCAAATGGCATGTAAAAACATTATATTTTATCGTACGGCACCTCTGCCAATCACTATCCTCAGCAAAATAACTGAAAAATGGCAATTCCTGTGCGGTAATTTGGACTCAATTTTGCCATTTGATAACGAGATAAGAATTATGTCATCCGATACCAATGAAGGCTAACATTATTTGTTTTTCACCAAACCGCGCCACCGAAACATGAGGTCAGGGTTGGTAGAACCACCGACTTATTAATCTATGTCTATCTAGACTGCTAGTAGTCATATCGCAACAATCCGAAAATATAAGGTCAGTTGCTCTCCTGAAAACGCTTCTGCTCAATACGCAGGAACCCCCCAAGCTGTCGTTCATGAGATGAGGTGCGTTTTGTTGACGCTAACCTACTTCTGTAACAGCTATTCCACTTCGCGCCAACAATTTCAAAAGTTATTCGCTCTGGCGGCTCGATATATTTCGATCGAACTGAACGACGGAATGAGATGAGAAGAAGGAAAATCGACGAAAATGGCGGTATTGAATATTGATTTTTGGGGTTGATTTTCTCACCCAAGAACTAGTGAGTGAAAAAAGTGAAAATTTATGTTACGAAGGTTTTCCAGGCCGAGGTCTTTGCCATTCTGGCAGTAGCGGAGAGGCAAGAGGTGAAAGAGGGACCAGGCAGAAGATTTACATCTGCTCGGATAGTCAAGCGGCTCTCAGGGCTGTCTGCCATCCTAAACCAAGCTCATCTTTGGTGCAGGAATGTGGCGATGCTCTTGAGAAACTAGCTGAACAGAAGGAACTGAACAGAAGGAAGTCGAACTAGTATGGGTCCCGGGGCACAGGGGGGTGCCCGGGAACGAGGTGGCCGACGAGATGGCTAGAATCGGATCCGCGACACCGTTCTGACAAGAAGCCAAACTTAGTCTGCCCTTAACAAATGGGCGGACGAGGCACTAGAAGTATATTGGAGGCGTATAGGCGGCTGCAGGCAATCGAGAGACCTGGTGGCCGGTCCAAGCAAGCCAAGGACGGCTTGGTTACTGGGCAGGGATCGCCAAGTCCTGCGCCTTCTTATAGGAATACTGACAGGGCACAACAGGTTACGCAGACACCTATCACTTATAGGTGTGGAAGATAGTCCCACTTGCCGTGAATGCGGAGAAGATGAGGAGACATCACTTCACTTCACTTCCTCGGAGAGTGTGAGGCGTATGGAAGGATGAAATTCGAAATCTTTGGAGTAGATAAACTACAACAGGAAGATTCGGTCGAATTAGAGTGGACGGACATCCTGACCTTCATCAGCAGGACGGGAAGGTTCGTAAAGGACAACTAAAAGAGGGATGTGTAGATATGCGGGGGTTGGCAAAAAGGGCCCATGGGGGCCTACTTGCCTGGCTACAGCCTCCCCACAATACTACTACTACTACTACTACTACTACTACTACTACTACTATGTTACGAAGGTATTGGACAAGAATTATGTCGCTGCCAGAAGGATTTCTTCATTGAGGATTCGTTGATTCAATACATCATCATTTTCATTTTTCCTCATCATTATATCCATGCATAGAATGCTGTTACATGAGGATTGAGGAAACTCATTCATATTTCATTCGCTGAAAATTTTCAAAATGTTGTCACAATTTTAAAAAGTGAGGTTACCAACATGAAATTCCCGTTTTCATGAACAATCACTGTATTCTATTATTCGGGTTAATTCCGTTTTCTTGCATAATTGGTATCGAAATCAACCTAGCGTCCATTTTGTTCATAGGCGGCGGCATCAGTGAGTATTTGGGTAATGAATAATTCATTATCTTAATTTGCTTTTATCAGTTGAGCAAGTATTTAAATCGAATGGAATCATGCATGTTTTGAATATTCATTCAGCTGTGAAGAATTTGAGTTCAGGCGTGAGGTGCCATACTCTCATCTGTTTTAGACGATATTTAGGAGACCATTGAACCTTAGCCACTCAGGAAGGATGATTATGTTCAGACCATTCTACGCCAGACAGCTTCCTGATGCTTCCAGGCAATTCCAAGCCAATGAAACCACATGCAAAATTTCCGTTGTTATAAGTAAAGTTCTCAAATCAGAGTATTTGGAAGATATGAGACCTGAATACGACATATTCCATTCGTTTCTCACTACTTTATGTATGGTTTATCAACCTTCCATACTAGATCCCTTCCAACCTTTTTCCTTTTTTCCTTTTTTTTTTTTTAGGCCCATATACCGATATTGGTATCAGCCACTAATATACCGGTATTGGCTAAAAGCATCAATATCAGTTGATCTATGATTCATAGATAGCAGTTTTTATTATACCACATGCAATGTTTAACTATGAGTACAGAATAGTTATTTATACTCCACGGTAGTAAAGGGATCAAGATTATATCTCGAGGCTTCAGCCGATGGGTATAAGGTCCCGTGGTATAATATTCTTTACTACCAAGGTGTATGTATATGTTGAATTTTTTTCACCACCAGCCATATATTTCAATCAATATAGTTCTGTGAAACAAAAATATGGACCTATACCGGGTGACACAGGTGACATGTAGCAGCCTGTAGTTTTTTTATTTGAAGAGATAAAATTTTGAAATTCACAGGAGGTATATAATAAATGGTAGCGCACTTTACGAACTTAACGACAATTTTTTTCAACCACCTGTTTGACCGAAAGTGACCCCAACTTTTTTTTTTAATGTCACCCTGTACATTTCTTCAGTCTATCTTTTTCGCCTTGAAATTCTCTATCCAACCATGTATCACAAAGTGGCATTTATTTCTTAATTCGCTGTTGAATTGCTTTTTATTCAAAAAGAATAAGTTGGCTGTGACATGAATTCGATGATATATCGACACTTGGTAGGCTTTGAAATTTAAAGATCATTAGTGAACCGATATTATTCAAAATGTTTTGATATTCTGATCAATGTCTGCAGGTTGTCAATAGCTTGTTTGAATCAAGATGAAAACCTTCGAAAATAACTAATGATATTGAGGAATCTAAGATAGGAACATATTTTTTCGAATTCAGCTACTCGTACAGGAACTATCTGTCATTTATTTTCGCCATGTACCTATCACATGATCTTCCCATTTGGAATAATAAAACTAAAATTGTTCCTCTTATACGATGATCCACAGGGCTATCAGTCTATTTTTTCATAATTATTTCACTTAGTAGGCGGTGTACCTACACAAAATGTTTTATGTGTTTGATGGTTAATCGATTGCATCAATAATTTTTCTTCTTCATTTGTGTGTTGATTTAAAATTGCATATTATCAATAGAGACGGAAAATGTATTCAAGAAACGAAAAAGTCGATATGTTGTTAGTTCGTTCAGAACGAAAGAATATCACTATTCTAGGTTTTATTGAGTGATAAATGTAATGACAAATGAAGACCAAGTGACAAGACGAATTACCCAATGGGAATGTCCGTCTGAAGTGTATGACGCGGTGTGACGCACCTTGTATTCGTCCAATAAAATGCCATCAATATTTCGCGCGCATTTGAGCTATCGTTTGGATTTAGGTTCAATTCAATAGTTTTTTCTGGGTCAACCGCAATCGAAAAAATGCTGAATTCACCCAGTATGTGTTCTGAATCGTGAAAAAAAAATCAAAAAATCATGGTGAAATTCCCTATTACAGTGGAGTTGCAGACATCTTTGTTGCTATGGAAACCTTTTGGAATAATCAAATATCTGACAATTTAATGATATGATTTTAAAAAATTGCGAACTTAGTGGTTGTTTAGTAATTTACGTAACCGTGAAGGGTAATGGAAGATGAAAAGGACTTGCAGTTCTTTCTCGGGGACGGTGGTATTAGCTTATTTTTCGGAACTGGCACCACAAAAGCTATTACCAGTGCACCTGTATATCCGGGAAAAAGGCACTAATTTTTTTTTTCGTGGAAAAAGGTAATTTCAAGAAGTGACATTTTGTAACCTGTCAACAGAGATGAAATGTCGAACTTTCTCTCCGTCACAGAAAAAACAAACTTCATGCCTTGAAAGAGAGTAAATAATGGTAGGTTTTATAGCTAATGGTGAAAAAACACCCTTACTCTCACATTGGTTCTAGGTGAAATAAAAAAATAATATCAAGGAAGTCAAAACCATAATTATTCATTTTCCATTAAACTGAAACACTGATAATCATTTCAACTAAATTGTATCACAATTCAACTTTCTTCATAATTTATTGTGTATATTTTTTCTGAAAATGGCTTATCTATCAATTTGAAGTATTTATAGAAAATTTATTTTTTATGCGGATTCCTGACAATAAAAAATGAATTATTGAAAATTCAACATTTGTGTTATCTTCAATGGCACTTTGTTTACATGATTGGGAGAGTATTTTGAGTATTTTCCATGTTCCTAATTAAATGCAACAATTTATATTAATGGCTCACTTCAGGAGATATTTGTTGCCACAATAAAAACCTCTTATCAGAACATGTTACAATATTGTGTTAGTCATACAGGGTGTTTCATTAATCTTGTAATGTTGCACAAAACTTCAATTTATTGTACATGGTCCTTCTTCAATAAACATTATTATTTTTATCTTTATTATTATATTCTTTGGGTCAAAATGAGAATAAAAAGTTCAAATAAACATATCATATGTGAATGTTATCAACTTTCTTAGAGAATATGATTTTTATTAATTTGGGGAAAAGGCTTCAACCTATCAGGTTCCTACTTCAGGCCCACTCACACTGAACCTAACCTAACTTATTAGAAATTCCAGTAAAAAAAATAAAAAATCGTTTCAAGGAAGTGTGTGTATAAACTTTTTGCTTATTTTGACCCAAAGTAAACAAAGTTTGGAGAACAATTCAGTATTTTTATTTCCAAAATAGTGCATTTCACTCACCAGTCACTTTTGTACATTCATGATACAGAAGAGCAAATGACTCTAATTCTTGTTCCATTTTTCTCAAATCCTCAGCAGTATTCTGAAAATTGAAAAAAACAATAACAAAACTAGAAAAGGAGTTGAAAAAATATAAAAAATATTACCTGTGTTCTGCTTCTCAAAATGCTGACTTTTTGCAAGACCTCTGCTCCTGAATTGGAAAGTACCAAACTGGGCAAACCAGTTATATTCTCGCCGCCAGCAGCTTGAACTAACCTCAGTTCTGCAGCTAGACAATTCCTAATGTGATTGAAAAGTTGCACAGGACTTGCACTAAAACAAACAAGGAACATTCAATATGAAATCTAGTTGTGAAAAAATCCATTCTTGGGGCCTTGGTTCAAAAACATCACAAACCTGTATCTTTGTCTAAACATTTTAGCAGCCTCAGCAAGCTTGAGTTTTGTTAAAAAATACTCAGCATCAGTAACAACTGCAGCTTTGTTTTCTATTTCCTGAATCAAAGAATTGACTAAACCTGCAATATATTGTTCATGTTGTGGGTTATCTGGTTGGGGTTCAAGATCCCTGAAAATACAAAAAAAAAATACTCAACACCACACAGAAATACAATGGAAATCAAAAGTGAAACATTCATTGGCCTTTATTATATGATAGTGTACACATAGCAGGACAGATACTCTGAAAAAAGTATTTGATTATTAATTATGGAAAACTTGAGTGGATTGAAAAAATTCATTATTAAACATTTTCAAAGGTGAAGATGAGAGTCCAGGAGTACACAAAAATAACAAAAATAGTTTACCTAGACTATTTAGATATTTCAAGAAAATTCAAATACTTTCAGGGTATTTTAAAATTCCCAAAGTATTTGAATGCTTTCATAATTATTTAAATACTCTGGAAACTTTATGAAAATGTTTGCTAATAATAAGTTTTTTTTCATAAGCCAAAGATATTAATTAAATATCATGACAATAGATTCTAATATGTTATATTCCAATGGTGAGTTGCACCACCATCAAATTTCTAATGCTTGAAGTATTTTGAAGAACTATTTGGCAAAAAAAATGGATTAAGGAATCACTCATAGATACTATAGAAATCTATTAGAAAAGCCATAACTCATAGAATATTGGGTGTATCAAAATAAAATTTGATATGGGAATATGGGATGTGAAGAGGAAATTTTTAGCATATTTTTCAATTCTTGGTCACATCCGATTTCACAGGAAATGGCTCCGGTTTTGCTTTTTTGAATGGATCACCCTGTATATCATAGCATTTATGAATTTCTGAGACAATTCTGAAGCAGAATATGCCATTTTCAGAAGTTTTCATGCCTACTTAATTTTTTTAGGTTCAGTTTTATTATTGCATCTAGGTGGCCATGATTGGATGTAAACTTATCTAAGGACCTCAGATGATGTCAGAAAAATATCATCACAAATTTTAGTAACATACTAGTTATAGGAAGAAGACAAGTTGACAAAATTACATTTCCATATCTACCTATAATTTTTCAAATGGAAACCATTTTTTGACAAGCACTTTCTGAAGAAAGGGTTTTTTGACCAAAGGAGACTGGAAAAAATAACAGCAAAATATGATGCTTCAAAAAATCCTTTTGCCATTTGAAGAATAATAGTTAGATATGGAAATGTAATTATGTCAACTTGTCTTCTTCCTATATATCATAGGTACTAGTCATGCAGTATCAAAAGTGACTGTAAAAAATGGAGTAGGTATTGAAAGTTCTGAAAATGTCATATTTTGATACAGAGCAGGGTGTTCTATTTATAGATTAAAAACCAAAGCAGTTGCCAGTGAAACCGGAAGTGACCAGGAAGTGAAAAATATGTGAAAACTTTCCTCTCCACATACCATATATCCATATTAAATTTCATTTTGTTACACCAAGTATTCTAGAAGTTATGAGTTGTCTAATAGATTTGTTGACACCCAGTAGATTTTTGATAAATCTGGGAGTCACCAGAGAAGGATCAGAAGTGGTGAGCATATTGAACCACTTGCTATTTGAGGGACAGAGTCATAAATAATATTTCTTGTTTATTTTATGTTAAACAGTTTTATTAGACCATTCCAATGATGTTTCACCTTTGAAATTGAATCAACAGAAAATTTATCACAATAAAAAAATTATATCTGAGGAAGGTGTGCTGGAGTGGAACCATGTATTGAAGCATGTATTTTAACCTGGATTTGAACACTATCTGTAAATAAAGGTAGGGTACCTTTGCAATAAATCAATAAAAATAAAATCTCTGTTCCAACATATTATTTCAATGTTTCACATCCTGACTCATAACTTATCAATAAAATCATTTTTCATCTCTTATAGGAGTTTTGAAACAACAAAAGAAGAAAATAAACTCCAGAATAATAATACATATTATGTTGAATAAGTGAATATGGTACAATATCTAGGAAACTACCTTTCTCCTAAACTATTTTTTCAAATAAATTTTCCTCAAGAAGGTTGGTGGCTAATATATTACCTCTGATGTGATATTAACCATTATAAGGCACCAAGTAGAATAACTTGTAAAACATTGAGAGTGATATAACTTTCTTACCAAAACTTTTCTTCAATGTATTGAGCAAGATAATGCCTGACTTCAATGGGAAAATGATCTCCATAGATCTGTTGTAGACTCCCTGGAGGGAGTTGCTGCACTTTGGCCCACAGAGACATGTTTAGGTCCTGAAGGATGAATTAAAATCAGACTCACTTCACAAAATATTCACGATTTGATACAAGCTGTACAATATCCATGCGATTCCTTCACTATTTTATTTTTATAAAATTTTCAACGTGCAAAATTATTCCAAGGTCGTCTAAACTCTAGAGCGGGCATTTGATATTTATCTATTGGAATATTTTATCTTGTTTGTAGAACGCAAATTCGAAATCACCACCAATGAAACGAATTTACAATTCGTTAGTAGTCAAGAATAATCAACAGTTCCACTTGTATCTGAATAATTACTATAAATTCCACCTATATTACGTTAGCAAAATTTTACCTCATGCAACACAAAAACAATAAGCGGCCATTTCTTTCAACGCCAACGCAAATGTTGCCAACTTCATGGACCGAGAAACCATCACAAACTCATTGCAATATTGCCAACAATGCCAACTAAAAAATTATTGACGTTGACACCAATAAATTGTCTCCGGTCGTGACACTTCGTGTGTCATCGGGTCTACTGTAGACCAATCAGAACGATAACTGCCATAGCGGTAAATTCGAATCGCTGATATTGCGAAGAGAACTCTTCCGTTAGCAAGTCGTTCAATATTTCTACAAAAAAAATACTTCGTAATGAGTTTCAGTCCATATATAATATTGTAGGATGCGTCTGCAAATAATCTAATAACATCAACCACAATGTGTTATCGAGAATACGGTACCTATGAGTACACCTTTTCCAATTTCAGTTCAAAAATGGTCAATTGTATTTCAAAATTGTCATTTGGATTTCAAAAGACATCATTTTAGTATTTCGAATTGGTTAATTCAATTTCGAAAACTATCATTTCAAAAAACCCAAATTCTATTTCAAAATTATCAAATTAATTTCAAAAACTAACACTGCAAATTCCAAAATAGTTATTTGTATTTTATAATGCATCATTTGAATTTCAAAAGTGAAAACGCACAGGCGAAGGTTATAGATGGGTATATGTTATTATAAGTAATATTCTCAGTTATTAGGTAATATTTTCATTCACCTGCTTGTTATTGGAACGCTTCTGATGGTTCCTGTCATTGTGGCATTATCAATAAAAGTGATTAGATTTGAGATCGAAATGATGGATTTTTAAATTGAAATACATTTTTCCTACGACCACCTATGAAAAGCACAAAACACATTGATTTGTTATTGAGAAAGTGACTCGTTTCACTATGACAACATATAACAGTTAGAAAGTTCGAAAGTAAAACTCACATGGGTGGAAATATTCGAAAATCGCACAGTAACAGGGTCTATATATAGATGTAGGTATATACCAATGAATGATTATTATGCTGAATTATGGTAAGTTGAAGTTATGGTCAAGTTAATGGAAAGTTAGTGTCGATTTAACATGAGTTATTGTCGTTAATGTTGACGTAATGTTAAGTTGATGAAAAGTTGGAATCAAGTTAATTTCAATTGAAAGTTGAATTAATGTCAATTTGATATTGAGTTGATGTTAATTTGATTTTATGTCAAGTTAATTTTGAGTTAATGTTGAATAATTATTGAGTTGATATGTTAAGTCAATGTTAGGTTAATTTCAAGTTGATGTTAAGTTAATTTCAAGTTAATGTTGAGGAACTGTTAAATTTATGTATAAATTAAATAATAAATCCACCTTCATGTGATCGAATATGATTATAAACATGATCGATCCCTACTCTGGTCTTATAAACTCTCATGACATATTATAATATAAATATTTGTGGTCGTAGGAAAAATAGTGTACAAAACTCGTTGGAAAGTGCAGTTCCTGCGCTCGTTTCGTTTCCGCACTGCGACTCGTGCTAAACGTCCACTCGCGCGAAATATGTCACTTATTTCCACACTAGTTATATGTAATATACTATTTCTGAAATTAAAATGACTAATTTGAAATACAATTGACGCATTTTGAAATTGAATTGATACTTTTGAAATATATGTATACATTTGATACTTCTTGAAATTAAAATGACTAATTGGAAATATAAATGAGGCATTTTGAAATTAAATTAATGTTCGACATATTTCGGGGTTTATGACAAAATAAGGATATACATGAAAATCTAACAAATTAATATTTCTTTATTCAACTCAAGAGAACAATTTTATATCAACGCATTTGCTTTCTTGCACTTTTCCAGGTGTCCCATCTGTGTAGTATCCCGTGAAAGGGTTGTAAGATCGGTGCCTGATCGACTTATGACTCTGTAGTCGTTTAGTATATGAAGCGAACTCGTCGTCCCAGAACTTACAGTTGCCTTGGTTAGACATCCTCCTGTTCAATAGTAGAGGAGTTTCCGGCATTGGCAACTAAAAAACAAACCCATCAAGTTCTACTGCTAGCCAATAAATGGAGGACTTGTATATTAACTCTTTTCAAAGAATAAGGATAGGGAAGATCATAGTCATGCTGCATAGTCGTCGAATAATCTTGAGAATACGGTGAAGAACAAATTTTCTGTTTACCACAGTCACTTGGGCATCTACAAGAGATAAGATAAGAAGAGTAATATTGCTGATGTTCCACAACATATATTATAGATTGACTACTCTTTGATATACTGGATTGTTTTTCGACCAAGGGCAGTAGAGGGGTAACTATACAGGGTGTTTCAGATTTAAATGTACATAATATACCTGTAGATAGAGGACACTTCGGTGGTTCCAAATCACCCCCCATCGATATGTCTACCGTCTTTTATAACTGAGATACAGGACGTTATCTTGATTTTGGCAAAATCTTCATCTGGTTATAACTTTTGAACCACTTTATATAATTTATACATACTTGGTAGAAATATTCCACTTATATTACCCATCAAAACCATATACAAATCCGGATCAGCATCCAGGTCCGTCTTGAGGAAAAACAGAAAACTTCTTTTATCTCAAAAACAACACCTTGTATGGCAAAATTTTGTAGGTCTGTTTTGATATTTGGAAAGAGCGGGAAAAAATGAAATAAGTGACCTACTTTTTACGAGTGCGCATCTAATTTGACAGATGGTTTATTATCAAGTTTTGAAATATTCAGCTCCATTTCGAGGCATTTTTATTGAGCTTATAATTCAAAATTCAATTTTAATACAAAAAAATAACAGTCTTCGAAGTTCAACATCATTAGAGTCAAATTAGGTGAACTATCGATAGATTTGTTGTGACAGAAGCACTTGTCCATGGTATCATACATTTTTGAGGGCTCATTTTATTCTCCACTATTAATTCACGAGATGCGGTTAAGTAGGCTGTGCAAAAAAATCTGATATTCTGACAGGTCATAATCACTAGTTTGATATTATTGGTAATGTTGAGATAATCATTTCTGGTGCTTGTATTGAGTTGTTACATTTCAAAGTGTTCATAATAATTGTGCCTACAATAACTTCACCAATAATATCGCAACTATAGTGATTATGAATTGTCCGAATTTTCATTTTTTCTTCACAGCCTACTTTACCGCAGCTTATGAATAAATAGTAAAGTATAAAATTAGTCCTCGAGAGTTTTTAAAATCATCGACAAATTATTCTGTCAAACGAACAAATTTATCGATAGTTCACCTAATTTGACTCTAATGATGTTGAACTTTGGAGACTGTTATTTTTCTGTATAAAAATTGGGTTTTGAATTATGAGTTCAATAAAAATTCCTGGAAATAGAGCTGAATATTTCAAAACATGATAATAAACCATCTTTCAAATTAGATGCGCACTCGTAAAAAGTAGATCACTTCATTCATTTTTTTCCGATCTTTCCAAATATCAAAACCGATCAATAAAATTTTGCCATACAGAGTGTTGTTTTTGAGATAAAAGAAGTTTCCTGTTTTTCCTCAAGACGGACCTGGATTTTAATCCGGATTTCCATTTGGTTTTGATGGGTAATATAAGTGAAATACTTCTACCAAGTATGGATGGATTATACAAAGTGGTTCAGAAGTTATAACCAGATGAAGATTTTGCCAATATCAAGATAACGTCCTGTATCTCAGTTATCAAAGACGGTAGACATATCGATGGGGGGTGATTTGGAACCACCGAGTGTCCTCTATCTACAGGTATCTTATGTACATTTAAGTCTGAAACACCCTGTATATACCACCCAGATACTTTTTTTAATAGTACACTTTAAAAATGTTAAAACTAAAATCAACAAGAAAATTAACAACAAAAAATCATAGTCAATATAAAAATAAAACGAACAACGTTCACAAATAGTACTATGACGTTGAAAGATTGACTCAGTGAAAAAATATATTGTTTTTTTCTTTTAGAGCGCACGAAAGGGAATCCCTATATAATGTTCGAAGACCATATCCTGCATTCCTAGGGAGGAGATATAGGGAGAGGAGGTACGTACGATTCTTATTCTTACTTTTGGAGATAAAAATAATAACTTCTTGGGCTTATATACTTCAATTCCAAAGCTTTCCGTTCATCTATAGACAAACGAATTTTAAAAACACAATTATGATTACCCCTCCCCTAGAGATTCGCACTAGCGGGAGTTTGAAAGCTAATTTTTGTTGCAAATTAAAATTATGACAAGTGTGAGGAACATATATGTTTCATTCTTCCCCACTGAAAGATTATCGTTGAGTAGGAACCTATATACCCTGTAGCTGTATGAGTTTCGGTATCGTTTTTCCGCAAATAACAGAAACAACGAATTTCTGTCATTGAATTTGTTGGTCTTTTCAGATGTTTTTATTTTACATTACCGCACAAACTCCCATGGATTCAAAAAATCTTGAAAAACCATCCAGTAGAGGTAGGTCAAAAGTAAAGAATGGTGATTGACTTTATGGACGCACTGTATAGATGTGTAAACGTTCACTAATGATGAATGTCGATTCATTTCTAGATCATCCTTTCGACTATGTATCTGACGCAACATATCACCAGTTGTGGTTGCCCAGTTTGCATCAAGGTTGTTACCCAAATGGTTGTAATGCGAGGATTGTAAATTGAA